TCAAGGTATAATATAACTCACCTTAACTTTAATACCTCACCTTTTCTTCCTACTATCAAAGACCCTTTCAACTTTCACTATTCTTTCCTTCTTCCTTTCTTTCTTCTTTCTTTTCTTTCCTCTTCACCCAGCCGGATCACCTCCCTATTTATAACGAGGTGAGGCCATTGGTTGGCCAACACATGGCCAGGCCATCCCTCTCTCCTAGATTCGATATTTAATTTTGCTCTTATCTTTAATAAATATGTAAGATAATTGCTCTTTGACTCAATATTTTAATATAATCATATAAATAATTTAATTTTTAATTAAATTATACTTTATTATATACTAACAAAAAATTAATTATTTATTTTACTATCATACCCATTATTATTATTTGTATTATTATTATTTATATTTTGACTCCTAAACTTTTAATAATTATATTATATTACAAAATTACGCATAATAATATATAATAAATTATATATTTTTCAAAATGAGATCAAATAATATTAGTATAAATTTTACAAAATAATTAAAAATTTAAATTGTTACCGGATCAGGCCGGGTCAAACTTATACCCAAACTTTTATGTGGTACCACTCTATTAGGGTTGTGGACGTGGCAAGACGAAGGAAAATTGTTGTACTCTTGAGAGTGAGCGAGCGAAGGGCCAAAGAGAAGATTTATTCAAAAAAAACATTGTTAGTTAATTATATATTTTAGTTAAAAAAAATTAAAAAATTACTCTAAATTGTCACATTATTTTTTTATTTTTTTATATAATTTTTTATAAGAAATTAAAAAATTACTAATAATATGTTCCCAAACCAAATGATAGGTTCTAGCCTTGTGTTATTTTTGGCTTTACATACGCCATTTTTATGCCTTAAACTTAATAATAATATTGTAATGATCATATTTTTTAATTATATTTATTTTATTAAGTGAGCAATTTGGGAATATTGGTTTGGAAACTAGTTCAATTGGTTCCGGCGAAATCTTTCAGTGGTTTTTTTTAAAATAAATTGACTCAAAAATTTAACTTAAAAGATAAAATAAATTGATTTAAAGATCAAAAATGTTTTAAAAAGACAAAAATTGGAAAACAAAGTGTATGACATTTTATTATTACAAAACCAAATCTATCATATTATTATACTAACAAACTCTGTCTCTGTTTGGAAAGTTGAAATTGGGGCATTTTTTTGGTTAAAATAGTCACAAAAAAATAAAATAAATTTTTTAGTCTAATAAGACAAAACATTATACCTCACTCATAATCATTATATTTTTTCTCTCACAAAATGTCAAAATAGCCAAAAAATTATTCTCAAATAAAACTTTTTAGCCAAAAAACTAAAAAGTTAAAAAGTCAATTTACTTTCCAAACGAACCCTCTATGTAATTTATTTAAAAGAAAAATAATTCATTCGCACAATTTTTCTCCAAATCTCTCCAAATGACATAATAAATACAATTTAAAAAGTTAACAGGTATTTTAATATTTTTTCAAAACTCTTCTCGAATGTATTTGGTTTTACCATGTTATTAAGCCTTCATTTGGCAACTTGGGTTCGGCTGGGTTTGAACTATTTTAATTACAAAAAGATAAAATAAATTTTTTAGTTCAATAAAATAAAATATCACATCTAATCCATAATCATTTTATTTTTTCTCTCACAAAAGTTAAAAAAATTAAAAAATTCATTTTAAATGAGACTTTTAATCCTAGACTAAAATAATCAAAAAAATCAAATCACTTTCCAAACGAATCCAAGAATTTTTAGTTATCAGTCACGTTATATCCACACAAATTTTCTAACCTACAATCCCTACAAATGACAGGACACATAGGTCCGTTTGGGAAGGACTTTTCTAGATTTTTTTAACTATTTTAGTCACAAAAGATAAAATAGGCTATTTTAACCACAAAAAACAAAACATCACATCTAACCCATAATCATTACACTTTTCTCTAAAAAAAAAGCCAAAAAAGCCAAAAAGTCAAAAAATTCTTTCCAAACTAAGCTTTTTAGCCCAGGCTAAAATAGTCAAAAAAGTCAAAAAACCAACCCACTTTCCAAACAGAGGCATAATACAAGTTGTATACCAATTTGAGTGGGTTTAACTTTTAAAATTTTGTTTTTCATTTCATTTTTAAGGATTGTGAGAAAAAAAATTATGCGAATAATATATTCATTAAAACATACTTCATCCCTTCCAAAAATTTAGTCATTTATTTAATTTTTTTATTATCTCAAAATATTATTCTTTTTTTAAAAATTAAAAGCTAAAATAACATAAATTTTTTATTTTACCTTTTTTTTTAAATTCAATAAAACTACTTTTGAAAATTAATTGCTCTATTTGGTTCCTGTTTTGGGGACTTAATTTGTTGAAAGTTTTTATAACAGTAGTGATAAGGATTAAGACATGTTTGTTTGGGTGGATATGAGCTTGAGATTGGACTAAGAGTCCAATAAAATTATTAATCCGATATTTGGTTAAACAATTGGAGCATGTTTGATTGGAAGGATTAAAGCATGGGATTAAGATTATTAATCCGTGGGCCCAATCATCCTATGTTTGTTTTGACATTTTGGTTTAGGACTATTAATCCAATAGATAATTAATCCAACAAATTTGTAGGATTATTAATAATGGGGTAGGGGTGGGATAGTTAATACCACACTAATTTGATTGGATTATTAATACCTCACTATTAGTATTGTGAATCAAACATGGCCTTGAAGTACGGATAAATTATTTTAAACTTGACTATTAGTTAAGATAGAATACATAATCCAACGGATTCGTAGTCCTAGGACTATTAGTCATGGGAATACTAATCCAGTCCGCCCAAACAAACATGGCCTAAGAGTATTACTACAAACTCTAATGAGCTGGCAATAAAAAATAATAATAATAATAATAAAACATCACATCACAAGCATTTTTAGTAATTTTAACCATTTTTCGTTAAAACTCTCTTAGAATTCTAAAATTAGTGGTTTTAAACCTTTTTTATTTTTACAATTTCTGTTTAATTATTCAGGATATTTGAAAGAAAAATGAGTGAAATCACTAAAAAGAAAATTACTAATAACTCTAAAATGGCGTGGGTCATGATAAAATATTTTACTCTTATATTTTTTTTATTTTTTTTTTAATTTTTACTTCATTAATGGTCTATTAATACTTTCAAATTAATAGAATGAATCGTTATTGTATCTGAAAAGGTTTGCAAAATCAATTTTTTGGATTCTTTTTCAGATTTTATTCTTTATGTGATGTGAATAGATATAACCCGTCGTACACTCTATTCCTAATAGACTCTGCCTACTGCCTATTGCTCTGCCGATCATCTTTATAAATGTAAATTGTTTATTAGTCTAGCCTCGGTTTGAAATGTGAGTTTTTTTTTTAAAATTTTTTGGCCTTTTTAATTATTTTAAGAATGGTTTAAAATGTCTTAAATAAGTATATTTTTTTATTTTTTAAATTAAAAAGTTGAGAAAAAAATATAATTATTTGGGTTAATTTTTTAACTTTTTATAAAAAAAATTTATTAAAAAATTATATAAATTAGTGTGTAGGAGAAAATTAGAATTGAGAGTTGTGTAGTCGTAATTTTTGACTTTTGGTGAATAATGATAACTTTTTAATTTTTTGAGTAACTTTTTAACTTTTTGACTTTTTCATCACATGTCAAACTTGAGGCTAAAAAACCTGATTTAATAATAATTTTTTAATTTTTTTAACTTTTTAATTTTTTGATGAGCTGCCTTCATGATAAATTATCAACTTTACATAATTAATACATGTCAACGAGTTACTTCTGGTCCTCCACGTCAGTTGATGGCGATGGACCAAAATTTTTTTTTTTTTTTTTTTTTTTTTTTTTCTATTGGGTTTGGAATTGGCGTTTTTTTATGTTTTATTTTTTATTTTTTGTTATTTTTTTTATACATTAATTAATTCTTGTTCTTTAATTTATATTTTTTTTCTTTTTTATTTTTATTAATATACAATAACTTTTTTTATTTTTCAAAAATGAGTTTTCATGTGTTTTATTTATTTTTAAATTACACCGCAAATGATAATTTATGTTTTTATGTTTTTTTTTTAAAATATTTTTGAATGAGGTGTATTTTTCTCGTTATTTTTTTTTAATTTACGTTTTTGTGATTTTTTAATTTGTACACATTAATTTGTTTTTATATTTCAAAATTGGATTTTCATGTATTTTATTTATTTGTAAATTACATGACAAATAATAATTTCTTTTTTATTTTTTTTGAATAAGGCGTATTTTTGTCGTTCTTTTTTTTTTAATTTACATTTTTGTAATTTTTTTTAATTTGTATACATTAATTTGTTTTTAATTTTCAGAAATAATTTTTCATGTGTTTTCCTTATTTTAGTATATTTGATGTAATATGTAAGTCACATATAAAATAAGGAATTATTTGACTTTTCTTATTTTAGTATATTTTTTATTATTTTATTTTTTTAATTATATCATTTTTTTATTTTTTATAAGAAATTAAAAAATATATTTATTTAAATTATTTCAAATATTTTTAAAATTTACTTCATAAATATAATATTTTAAATAATTTTTAAAATTTTAGGTCTAAAAATTATAGCACTGTGTACATGTATAACATCATTGTACTTTCGTTTGTTTTTTTGGAGAGTGACAATACAACAAAGGGAGGCTGTGCTGGTGTCAACATTGAATGAGGGGTAGTTTGGTACTTTCACCCCGCCATGTATGTAAGTCATGCCTCTAAAGTAGGGGAAATTCTATTTCCACAGACCACATTGTCTCTGTGTACACACTTAATGAATTTTATTTTTATTATAAATTTACCTTTAAATAAAATGACCAAAATAGACATCTATCTACACACTTAAACATCCAAGCTAGAGATACACAATTTCTTATATGCAAACACAAGAGTTAAAAGTTCATACAGGTAGCCCAGGATTCAAAAATATGCGTCCACCCAAGTATTCCATTACGTAAAATGGAGTTCCGATTACACTCGAATCAGTACACAAATAGAAAACCTTTGGAACTGGAACCTGTGTATGGACACCTAATACCTCAATAGCTATCATATTGAAATAAGAACACAAAACACATATATAAGCAAAAGCCTAGAACTGCGACAATTAATCAAGTGGTGCAGGTTTTAACTAGTATTATTGGTGACTGTTTCAATGTAACAATACACACATCGGATGATATATATATATATATACAAGTCAACATATTGAGAATTTGATAGCACACCTGAAATTCTCTCTCAATAGCATGAGCAGATTCAAGCAATTTGCCAGGGGGCTTCTTCCGCAGCACATATCGCTTCACAGAAGAACCCGAACTAGTTTCCAATAGAAACGTAGGGTTTGATTGACCATGCCCAAACTGACTTGCAACAAAACAGATCAAAATGCAAACCAAAACCTCAAAAACAAAAGAGAGATAGAGAAAGGTTGTTCGGTTGCCGATAAAATCGAGGAAAGGGACAGAAAATAAATAAATCAAAAAACGTATCTTGGCGCCTCAACTTAGCCAAGGCTCAGTTGAGTACTACTTTTCTTCATTTTCCTACTCTGTTTTTTTTTTTTTTTCCTCAACAACCAAACGATACGTAGATGTGCAGGGCGAGAGAAATAGGAAACCTGAGAGACGGAGAATTTGGAGGGAGAGCGAGGAAAGGTGTGGACATGGGAAGAGGCATAGCGAAGCAAAGCATCGAGGTCGAACTGGTGAGCTGGATGTACTCGCTCTACAAGATCACAAGTTCGGCTCGCCATTTTTTCGCCTTATCGATCACAAATCGAATTCGAACAATTACCAGGATGAGCAGAGTCGATTAGAAAGAGAGAGAGCTCTGTTTTGCTTTGTAGATATCAAGGCCGGTTAGATCAAACGAAGACAGGCATGGGAGTTTGTATATGCTGAGTTCTAGTTTTCAAACAATGTGTGAAAAAGGGAAGGAAGGGTATTTGGTGTGTGTATAATAATATTGAGCGAAGGTTGTAATTGTAATTTTTAGTGTGTATATTGAGAAAATTAATCAATATATAAATTAATAGGAATGTGTATTGAGAAAAGATGTACTCTGAGTTATTTAAGTGGATGGAAATAGAGTTTCCCCTAAAGTAGTTTTGTCATTTAGTGGTTAAATTAGCCAATTTTGGACTGTAGTGGCTATTTTAGCCCCAAACTGTGTTGCCAAATGGAGGCTAAATTTTTAAAAAAGAATCACTTTGTTTCGTTTTTTTTTTCTAAAAGTATTTTTCAAAAAATTCTATTTTCTTATTTTTTGTGTTTTTTATTTTTATTGAATCTTTTTAATATTTTAAGATTTTTATTTTTTATTTTTTAGACATATCCAACATAAATATACTTAAAAAGTAAAAAGTTTATAAAAAAACCTTTTAAAAATTCACTAAATACCAAAAATATAAAAAAACAAATACGAGAACTCAGTATATTTTTTATATTTTTATGTATTTATTAATTTTTTAAAATATTTTTTCACATTTTTTTTACTTTTTAGATACATCTAAGTAAAGTGCATTTAAAAAAGTAAAAAAGATGTTTAAAATTTTAAAAATATTCACTAAAAATAAAAAAATACGAAAACTAGGCTTTTTTGACTATTTTAGCCAAAAAAGACAAAATAGGTTATTTTAGCCAGAAAAAATAAAATATCACATCCAACCCATAATCATTACACTCTTCTCTCACAAAAAAAATCAAAAAAGTCAAAAAGTCCTTTCCAAACCAATTTTTTTAGCACATGCTAAAATAACCAAAAAAACCAAAAAGGCAATCCACTTCTCAAACCGACCCTAAAAAACTCAGTTTTCAAAAAAGTCCAAAAAAACTCAAACCAAACACATTGATTATGTAGAATACAACCAAATATGAAATTATATATATATTTTTTTGTATTTTGTAATATTTGTTATATTAGTTTATTAATGAGTTTTAAAAATTATGATAAATTTTTAAATATTTGTAATATTTGTTATATTAGTTTATTAATGAGTTTTAAAAATTATGATAAATTTTTAAATATATATTTATAATTTTAAATATAAAGAAAATTTTATATTTACTTCAACAATTTATGAAGACAAATTTGAAATATAAATTTATGAATTTTGACTACTTTAAAATTACATTGTAAGCGGTCAAAAGTTACATTTATAAATTTTCATAAATGTATATCGAAAAATTTATTGTCACCAAATTTTATAAAATTAACACAAATATGCGTAACATCGTCAGAAATTGATGTAAAAAATTATCCAAAATTATATATTTGATGTTGCAAAAGTTTATAAGTTGATTATGATTTTTTGTTAATACTAATTTGTGACGAAATTTCGTATTTTAAGGTTTTGTTTGAAATGTAGATTGATTTTTTGACTTTTTTAACTTGTGATTAAAAAATTTCGGTTGGGATAGTCTTTTTTACTTTTGTGAGGGAAAAAATGAAATGTTTATGGGTTGAATGTGATGTTTTATCTTATTGGGCCAAAAAAATTATTTTATCTTTTTGTGACTAAAATAGTCAAAAATCAAAAAGTTTGGCATGCCAATCGAAGGCTAAGGTTGATATCATGAAATTTTATGATAAAATTATATATTTAATGATAGGATATCCATTCATAAATGGATATATACCAAATTATGTTTTGATATATATATATATATAGTATATATGTATATATACATAAAATTCTTTTGATGTGACAAAAAAAAATTTATTGTTAAATATATCTTTCAAGCAGCCCTCTGTCTCCACCTATGGAGAAAAATTTAGGTAGCGTTTGATAGAATTTTAAAAAGAAAATGTCTCGTAACTTAAATTTTGTGGCTCAAAGGTGGTTCAAATGGCTAAAACGATGTCGTTTTGGCCATTTTTATGTTGTTCTGTACTCAAAACGACGTCGTTTTGGTCATTTGAGCTACTCTTGAGCCACAAAATTTGAGCTACGTAGCATTGTCGATTTTAAAATTATGATTTGAGAATAGAGTTATATTTTGAATTTGTAAATTTTAAAATTATGATTTGAGTGTGAAAAATTTATTTGATATTGAGTTTTGAAAATAGTTTTTAGTTGAGTGATGTGACATATGATATTTAATTCAAAAACTTACAACTCATAACTAAACAAATAACCCAAAATTGTATTCAAAGCTCATAGCATTGTCGATTTTAAAATTATGATTTGAGAATAGAGTTATATTTTGAATTTGTAAATTTTAAAATTATGATTTGAGTGTGAAAAATTTATTTGATATTGAGTTTTGAAAATAGTTTTTAGTTGAGTGATGTGACATATGATATTTGATTCAAAAACTTACAACTCATAACTAAACAAATAACCCAAAATTGTATTCAAAGTTCATAAAAAATTTTAAAAAAAATTGAAAATATTTTTTATTTAAAATATAAAAAATAACAGGTGAAAAAAAAAAAACACGAACACTGGTCCAGTCAACCGGCCAAACGTCTGAGAAGATGACTAGGTAAACGTGTTTTCAAAAGTGAGTGTTGAATCAATTTTTTAAAACTCTTACCAAATATCACACTCAAACCAAGTGATGAAATCATGATTGGAACGCTGCACCAAACACAGCCTTAAATTTGCAATAATAATTTTAAAAAAAAATCAAACACATCTATTTTCAAAACATAATTTCCAAATCACTTTTTTAAAAAATAACTCAAAAAAATGAAATCAAACATAATGAGTATTTTTAAAGTGTTATAATTATATTATCAAAAAGGAATTATTATTTTGGAACGGAAAAAATAATTAGAACTTGTTTGATATGAACTAAAAAAATACATTTATTTCTTATTTTATCTTTTTAAAATCATATTACCTTTATATTTTTCTATACATTTTTTTATTAAAAAAATTTAAAAATATACTTATTTAGAGTATTCCAAATAATCCTATAATCTCTCCAAGGCATTAAAAGGCTTTAGATTAGTAAAGTATGACCAACCAAAGCAACACACATGTCATTGGGACACATATGTCATTGGGAGATTAGGAAACGGTGAGCTTCTCTTCATTTTGTTGGATTTATTTTTTAATATGACACAATAGCCTACATATATCTACATATTCACAGGTCATAAATAGTGATGATTCTACTAAATGGGTTAATGCTATAAATGAAGAATTAAAATCCATGGAACATAATAGTGTTTGGGATCTCATTGAATTGCCTAATAATTGTAAAAAGGTCGGGTGTAAATGGGTCTTCAAGACCAAGCGCGACGCGAAAAGCAAAATCGAACGATTTAAAGCCAGATTTGTTGCCAAGTGTTTTACTAAAAAAGAAGGCATAAACTATACAAAGGCCTTCTCTCCAATATCTAAGAAGAACTCGCTTAGAATCATCCTAGCATTGGTAGCTCATTATGACATAGAGTTATATCAAATAGATGTGAAAACTACTTTTCTAAATGAGAATTTGAATGAAGAAATTTATATTGAGCAGTTAGAAGGATTTTCAAAGAAAGGTAAAAAACATTTAGCTTGCAAATTAAAAAAATCCATATATGGTCTTAAACAAGCTTCCAAGCAATGGTATTTAAGGTTTAATGATACCATTATCTCCTTCGGATTTAAGGAAAATGCAGTTGATCAATGCATATATCTGAAGGTTAGTGGAAGTAAGTTCATTATTTTGGTGCTATATGTGGATGACATTTTGTTAGCTAGTAATGACCTTGGCTTATTGCATGAAATCAAGGAATATCTTTCCAAAAACTTTAAAATGGTCGATATGGGTGAGGTAAACTATGTTATTGACATAGAGATCTTTAGAGATCGATCTCGAGGATTACTAGGACTATCGCAGAAAGGATATATTGATTGTGTTTTGGAGAGATTCAATATGCAGTTTTGTTCAGCTGGTGATGCACCCATCATGAAGGGTGATAAAATTAAGTGAAAAACAGTGTCCAAGGAATGACTTGGAAAAAAAACAAATGAAGGACATTCCACATGTATCAGATTTTGCTGGTTGCCTTGATAGTAGAAAATCTACATCAGGTTTTGTTTTTCTACTAGCTAGTAGAGCAGTCCACTATTGCTCAGGTTTAAGAGTGTGAAGCAGTCTACTATTGCTTTATCTACTATGGAGGCTAAATTTGTGGCATGCTTTGAGGCTACAAATCATGCTTTATGGTTGCGAAACTTCATCTTAGGACTTGATGTTGTTAACTCAATTGCCAGGCTGTTGAAGATATATTGTGACAATAACGCAACAGTTTTCTTCTCTAAGAATGGAAAGTACTCCAGTGGTTCCAAACACATGGAAGAAAAGTACTTAATTGTTAGAGAAAGAGTTCAAAAGCAACAAGTGTTAATTAAAAACTTAAGCATCTCTCTTATGATTGCTGATCCATTCACAAAGGGATTGCCACCAAAGACATACAAAAAACATGTTATCAGGATGGGTCTTTTAAGCAATCCTTGATGTGTGTGGTTAATCGTGAGTGCTTATTTTTATTTGACACTATTTGCACAATAATAATTTTTTTTCTATTTTTCCTGCTTCTAAAAGTGTGTGTACACATTAATTTGAATATTGATAAACAAAAAATGTCTTAACAAAACAAATTACAGGGGTCTTTCAGGCAAATAATTACATATTCTAATAATGGACTGGGTTTGTGAAGGTTATCGATGGTATAATGCATAGAAAGAAATATGACATAAATGTTATATAACCGTTATGACTCACATAGGTGATCTGAAGTAATCACAGTATTATAGTTTCTAATATATCTGAACTTATTAGCTATTTTTAAAATTTGTGATCACGTGTCAAAGTTTTTAGTGTGGAATCCAATGAGTCAAAATTTTTATAAATTGCATATTTTTTTGGAAAAACTCATAATTGCATCATAATCAGCTTCATGGGCCAAGTGGGAGAATGTTAGATTTATTTTCTAATGTGGCCCAATAG